AATCTCAGCTCACTGCAACCTTCACCTCCCAGGTTCAAGCAATTCTCCTGCCTCAGCCTCCTGAGTAGCTGGGATTACAGGCATGCACCACCATGCCCAGCTAATTTTTTTGTATTTTTAGTAGAGACAGGGTTTCACCATATTGGCCAGGCTGGTTTTGAACTTCTGATCTTGTGATCCACCCGCTTCAGCCTCCCAAAGTGCTGGGATTACAGGCGTGAGCCACCACGCCCTGCCCTGATTTTTATCTTAAGAAGATGAATTCCAAATTATTACCACTCTTGAAGATTTTTTAGATAGTATGTATTTATATTTTGGCTTCTGATCACGAGAAATGCAAACTACTGCCATCTAAGTTTCAAACAGTAGTACCACCTTACATTACAGTTAAAAAGTACATTTGCAAAATGTTTTACATAATAATGGCTTCCATTTCCTGGTCTTCTACTATGCACCAGGCGTCACGCTAGGTGCTTCATAGGCATGATCTCAGATCAGTTCAACAATCTCACAAAGTTAATTCTATCATCTTGTTTCATAAATTTTTTTAAATGAGGTTCAGAAAGATTTAAAATTTTGTTCATGATCACTGAGCAAGTAGGTGCCAGCACTTGGATTCAATCCCAGGTCTGTCTGTTGACTTAAAAACCTACACAAAATTACCTTGTTTAATCATCATAACGCATTGGTGGAAAGACTTGTGCCTGATTATTCCCATTTGCCCAATAAAAAACAGAGAGGTTAATGATTTGCTCCACATCACAGAACGAATTAGCAGACAAGAAACTGCCTTCCCACTCTTCATTTCATGTTCTTTTCAGACGACCAAATCACAGTTTACATGTTACATTCTAAAAGCTATACTAATGGCAGTTACATATTACTTATGGATAGGATAAAAATCTCCTGATTTCTGAGAATCTTAAACATTGTTATAAATACGGCTTAGCTTCAACATAGGTCTGGCATGTTCCTGTTTGTTCCAGTCCACCCGTGAATCAGGTACCAGTTTCAACTCCCTTATTGGTTCCAGGATCCCCTCACAAATCCTATGAACAATGGTGCTGATAACATAAGGGCACAAGCACCCTCTCCAGGCCTTTATCCTGTCCTTAGCCGCCCTCACACCATCACCAGACAACCAGCAGCACACCCTGAGGAAGGGCACACATCATCTTACATGGGTCTTTTTTCCTTTATTTGTAAAATTATAAAGAGATTGTGTCATAAAAATCCAGCAAGAAGATCTCATCTCCCTGAGTTCCACTATTCGAAGTAGGATCCCAGAGGAGGGTATCATTTTATGTCCTGGCAAGAAAGTCTTCTCTTCTTGAAGCTGCCGACACTGTATCTTCAAACCTGTATTCCAGAAACTGTGTCTGTGATGTGTTGTGGCCAAGAAGTGATTCTCAAAAATAAAAAATAAAAATAAAAAAGTAGACATGGATACAGCTCTCCTGCAAGAGAAAGCAAACAGGCTTTATCACCTCATAAACATATCTCACCAATCAATACCTATTTGCCCTCTTTTCTGAAGCAACTCTTCAGAGTCCACTTGAATTCTATCACTACGGATAATTCTTGAAATTGCATTTCTCCCTCCTAATGATCTTCGAACAAGGCAAGCACCTCATTTTATTAAGTCCAACTACCCAAAGGAGCTGGTTCAGAGAAGAGTTAAGATATAGCTAAAATTGAGGTCTTAATCATTCCAATGTGATAGAACTCTGCTATGCTGTCAAATCTCAACAAGCCTGATCTCCCAACCGCCAGTGGCAAGAACAGACAGATGTCAGGGTTATTTGTTTTATTCAAAAATGACAGGAAATCAAAAATCTATCAAAAGGATGTGTCAACAGCAACGCCACAAGCATATTGGTTAGTGAGATTTATGTGTCTCCATTTTGGCTCATGACAAAAATCACCTTCTAAGCTTTCTAATCTTCAAATGCCCACTTGGACATACAGGTCGGAGAGTTCTGTGAAGTATCTTTAATGTTAGTTACAATGTGGAATGTAGTCACTTCCTATGTGAATTTAAATTATGCAAATTTAAAATATGGTATGACATAAAAATATTAAATACTGTCTCCTTATGCACATTTCTGCAAATCCCACAAAACGTCTTTTAAGTATCAAAAATTGCAAAATTCCAAAGCTGGCAAATTGAGTAAATTATAAATAGCATCTACCCTACAGCCTCATCACAGTGCCACTTTATGTGCCAAACTAAATGCCTACATGTCTACTCCATTGTGTACGTGCATTGGAACTTTATGAGCAATTTTAGTGACCACTGTTGCTGGTATTTTAACTTTCTGTTATTATTTTAATACCTTTTTATGTCTTAATATAAAATCAGCCAAGTCTTCACAAAGTGTTGATGTTAGAGCTAATGAAAGAAAAACAAACTGTCAAACTGTATTTTAAAAGGCCATTCACCACAACACTCCTTGATGTCAATTTAGGATACTAACTCAGTAGGCAAAAATTTTCTTCAAGAACCAGACAGTAAATATTCTAGGCTTTGCAGCTGTAAGGTCACTGTTACAACTATTCAACTCTGAGTTGTAGCTTAGAACATAGGAGCATAGTTGTGTTCCAATAAAACTTTATTTATAAAAGCAGGAAGCAGGATAAATTTGGTTTATAGGCTGTAGTTTTTTGGCCTCTACTTTATTATAGCTATAGAGCTAATTTCCCCCACTTCTTTTAATGTGGCATTTTACAACTCATGAAAACAATAGTACCCCCACCTACAACCACCCCCTCCATTTTCCATACAGTTATTTCTGAGAAATTAAAAAGTTTCATTAAAATAGGCACATTTCAAACTTGAAAAACTCTGTAAGAATAGTCAAGAAAATGGGAAAAAAGTAAAGGAATAAGCTGGCAGCATTCGATGCAACATCAAATTGTAGATTTATGTGGTAAGAGTACATACATACATATACATATATCCCCTACTTTACAGTTACTCCTCTGAGAAAACTGGTCATGAATTTTGAGACTTTGAATTATGTAAATCCTTCAGGAAATTTCATTGCATTGAATGCATTACATGCAACTGTCCTGTACTAAACTCCTAGTTATATTCAGACCTCGACCATTTCACTTAAGAGAGGAGAACAAGTTGCTTTTCACCAACAATACGATGCCCCAAGTTCATGGCTTAGCCCTCAACCACAGGGCAAAAAAACAAACAACAACAACAACAAAACACACCAGACTGGGCAACATAGGGAGACTTCATCTCTACAAAAAAGGAAAAAATTAGCCAGGTGTGGTGGTACACGCCTATGGTCCCAGCTACTAAGGGGGCTGAGGTATGAGGATTGCTTGAGCCCCAGAGGTCAAGGCTGTAATGAGCCGTGATTGTGCTACTACACCCCAGCCTGGGCAACAGAACAGCGAGACCTTGTCTCAAAATAAAACAAAACAAAACACAGAACATGGGTAACAAGACAATAGGTAATGCTGTAAACTTGTTTAATTTACTCATCTTCACTACCAACAATTTAAATCCAAATTGATTTAAAGTACAAGTTGATGTGAATCTCACCTCCCCTCTTTTCAACTGCATTTTCTCGAGGGTGGAGCCTGGCCACATTTAAGCAACAAAAAAGGGGGCAAACAAGAAGCTGAGATGCTAAAATCAGGGAAAAGCCATACAAAGAATATCATTCTTCCTATTAATCAAAAGTTGACCGAATGCACGACAATAATATCTAACTCCTAACTCCTATTAGCTTTCTCAGTGCCCTGACATTTCATCTGTCTCTACCCAGAGATGTGAACTCATTTGAAACTGCCATTCTCAAAGTGTGGCCCCAGGACCAGGATCACCATCACCTGGAAAACTGTTAGAAACACAAATGCTCAGGCCCCATCTCAGACCTACTGAATTGTGACTTGGGGAGTGGGGCCCACCAATCTGTGTTAAATCCTCCAGATGACTCAGATGCTCAAGACAGTTTAAAAACCACTAATTTGAAGTTTGAAGACCAATAGGTGTATACGTTTCCCATGGAAATGGAGACCCCTCATTCCTTCATTTACCTTGGAGCTGACTCGAGATCCCACCCCCTAGAGTAAGATGGGATCTGTGCCTAAGCATGCAAGTGCAAGAGGTGCTTAGTGAGCCTCACAAATATATTAGCCAAGAAAAACAGGGAGATGTGGCCAAGTTGTTCTCTATAATTTTTTAAGGAACAGGGTGGGTGTAGGAGTAAACCATATTTAGATCCAATTCCAGCATTTTATGAGCACCTGCTGTGTGTATGCCTATGCTAAATGAAATTATCCTGTTTAGCTTTTCTAGTAATATAAGAATCTATTAATATGTATTAAGTAGACAGAGGTGTAATATTAATCAAAATGGAGTCCAACCTGCAAATAAGCAGAAAGACTTTACAATTCTCCAAATAATGTTCATTCACAGGTCTGGACAGCATGCTTTGTACGCCAAGGTGCTTGTATATGATGTTCCCTTTGCTTCTTATTGGTTAACTGCTCTCAAATTTTATTGTTTATCACAATTAGAATACCAGGTTGCTTACACAAGACCACATGTCTCGATTAAACCAACACAAGAAAATTTGAGGTAATTCTACATTACCCAAGGCAAAGTTTGTTTTATTCAAAGGTTTCAACTCTCAGATGTTAAAAACCTAAGGCTGGCTGCGCACGGTGGCTCACGCCTGTAATCCTAGCACTTTGAGAGGCTGAGGCGGGTGGATCACAAGGTCAGGAGTCCAAGACCAGCCTGGCCAACATGGTGAAACCCCTTCTCTACTAAAAATACAAAAATTAGCCAGGCATGGTGGTGCATACCTGTAGTTACTGCTACTCAGGAGGCTGAGGCAGGAGAATCACTTGAACCCGGGAGGCAGAGGTGGCAGTGAGCTGAGGTCAGGCCACTGCACTCCAGCCTGGGCAACAGAGCAAGACTCCATCTCAAACGAACAAACAAACAAACAAACAAAAAAACCTAAAGCCTATAAATTCTGTAAGATATAGATCTATCATACTCATTTATTTTGGGCTTTGATTCTCTCTTAAATAACTCTGTCCTGCCCTTTCCACTATAAAGACCATTCTCCCTGATTTAGACAACAGAAATTTAGGGGGTGGGGATAGGGAGTTGAGTAGTTCTGCAATCTCCCACTATCTGTTAACCCTGTACCATTTGCCCTAGATGTGGCACGTGCTTCAGCATGAGTGCTGTCTTCCTTCCATCCTCTGCCCATGGCAGACACTGTTAACCATCAAGGCGCTCTTACCCAGAGCCTGGGAATTACTCTCAAGACCTCAGAATCCCTTTCAATAGCATTTCAGGCAGCTACCCACAATCAGTGGAAATACAGATGACTAATAAGAGATATTTGTTTCACTGGCCAATCAACACGCCCCTTCCTTGTTTCTCTTCGTGCTCCAATTACACCTTTTTTTTTTTTTTTTTTGAGACGGAGTCTCGCTGTGTCGCCCAGGCTGGAGTGCAGTGGCCGGATCTCAGCTCATTGCAAGCTCCGCCTCCCGGGTTTTTACGCCATTCTCCTGCCTCAGCCTCCCGAGTAGCTGGGACTACAGGCGCCCACCACCTCGCCCGGCTAGTTTTTTGTATTTTTTAGTAGAGACGGGGTTTCACCGTGTTAGCCAGGATGGTCTCGAACTCCTGACCTCGTGATCCGCCCGTCTCGGCCTCCCAAAGTGCTGGGATTACAGGCTTGAGCCACCGCGCCCGGCCGCTCCAATTACACTTTTAAAGCCTTCCTTTGATTATTTTCAGAACAAAAACATTAAGCTTCAGTTAATCTGAGCTGCAGTCTTTACAAATCTATGACAGCTTGAGGCTCTCAATCATGGTAGATTGTGCAACAGTTTTAACAATTTGAATAGAGTTGTAACCCAGCATGTAATACAAAACTGCTCTGAAAATCAAAGGACCAAGTAAATAAAAGTACTGAAGAGATAAAACACCTGTGAAATAGTATTCTGTGCATATAACTGGGAAATGTGCAGCGTGAATAGCCCAGGGAGGCTGCTTTCAAATACCAGGCTGATAAGCATGAAAACATGGCTTGCGTAAATAATTCTGACTTTGCTTCTGGTACTCACTGATGATTCTTTATTCAGCTACGGGGGCACCACACTGTTCCTTTAGCAGCATCTCCATGATTCTAATTCCCTATAGAAAGAAGGAAAACAAAATTAAAATGCCCTATTTCACAGACAAGTACTTTTACATTTATCACAACCTTTTCCCTTCAAAGAATCCAGGTCATGGCCATAGATTCATTTCAAAAAAGTAGGCTCATAGCCACACCTGACATTTTTATAATATTTTACTCAGCAATTTCACATACATTATCTCCGCATTTGCTCAGAACCACTCAGCGACGTAGGCAGAACAGAGCTTACGATCTCCATTTTAAACATAGGAAAACAGCCCAAGAGTAGTTAAATAACTTCTTAAAAGTGGCCCCGCCAGAGCTAGAATGATAATGGCAGTAGTTAATATTCATTGAACATTTACAAATATGCTAGATTCACTGCTGGGGTTTTATGTGCATTACCTGGGGGTAGCGAGTGCTATGGTGTACCACTGAGATCCCTCCCAGAACTAAAGCACTCCTTCCCTTTCCACCAACACTGTAGGCTGCAGCTGGCACACAGACAACCTCAGTCAAACGGAACTGCCTTACCTGAAGTCATGTCCCTTCAGGTGCAGCCTACAACATTGGATGACTGGTAGGTACAGGGGTATAAAGACCTGGCCCCTTCCCTTAATTTGGGACAACTCTGGGGAGCATCCAACCCTCAAAGCTCCCCAAGGGATCAGCTAAGACCTTTGTTTCAAGTGCATTGCAGTTCAAAAATCCCTTCCCATACCCCATGACAAGAGTTGTTCCTGAGTGCACTCTCCAATACCCGCTGCAGGCAAATCTCAAATTGAGTCTGTGTCCCAAGAGCTGACATAGGACACCTTAATACACATAAAACCGCCAAATAAGTACTATTCTTACCCACATTTTACTGATGAGGAAACAGAAACTCAAAGAAGTTTCAATAATTTGCCCGAAGTTACACAACTATTAAGTAATAAAGCCAGGGAAAGAGCATAGGCACCCTCTTCCTTTTCAAAAGCATCCGTGAGCCTTCTTGCAATGTTCATTCTGCTACTGTCCATACCCACCTGTCTACTCAGTAGCCTGTCCAGAAAAATTCTACCTTGGAAGAAAGAAGAAAGCAGAAATTCCTTTCCTTCTTAAAGGACAAGTTTTACAGACCAGAGGATAAACCTTCAAGTGGGAAGAGAGGGTTATGATGCAATTTACAAAGTGGGGACTCCAGGACATCAAGGTTGGATCCATGGGAAAGGGAGCTGCTATTTTCAGAGACCTGAACCTGAGAATTATTGCAGAGAATCATGATAAGGGGAACTTAAAATACAGATCCCCAGGCCCCTCCCAGGAAAATTCTGATTTAATGGGACTCAAGCAGGCACCACAGCTCTATGCCCTTAACAGGCACCCATAATTCATCTTATGATTAGGCAGGGCTGTGAACATCAAGTGGTCCCACAGGAAAAAGGCAGAGATTTCCCACTTGGGATCTGAGACCAGGGATGGGGACAGAGGGTAATCAAAGGCATCACTAGAGAAGACAATAACATATATTTAACACCAAAGTAGACTAAACTAAAGTTAGTATTTCCTTGAGGATTCAGAAGGTCCTTCAGATTCTCCCTGGCCATCACCACAAATACTACCATTATCTCGGAAGGAAAAAGTATTACTGGATCTTGAGAGAATGCTGAGTAGTAAGGAGTGTTTGCTAAACCAAAGCAGTAAACCACAGGACCAGGAGCACCACTGTCAGAGGTAGGAGACCTGAGTTCTAGTCACAACTCCACCAGTCATTCCGCTGGGTACCTTAGGCTGATCACTTTTACCAAGGAGTAATATAGACCACAGAGGTCAGGGCACTGAGAGGCAGATGGGATTAGTGCTTTCTATACCCAGCTGCACTCTAGCTTTACTAGGAAAGTCAAAAAAGAAAACAGATTCCCAAGAGTCTACCCAAGAGTGTGTTTGACTCAGTCAGAAATTTCAAGGTTCAGGCCTGAGTCTGTATGTGTATGACATACCTCATGTTGATAAGGACAGGTGGCAAGAAAATACTGGGTAGAAAACGGCAGTCCCAGTGAGGGCCACACCCTCAAGCCTAGACCTGTGGCCCAAAGTGAGAACATGCATTCCTGTTTTCCCACATGAATGTTGCCTTTTCCAAAACCACCCTGGCCCACCCCACCCCCCATCCTGTACCCATAAAAACCCCAGGCCCCACCGGTGTAGTGGCAGAGTGGCAGAGGAGAGAGGAGAAGAAGCAGCTGGATATCAAAGAGAAGCAGCTTGATTTCAGAGGGATGGCTTGATGGCAGGACCTCGGAGAATTCAACCAGGGACAGCCAAACTCCAGGGGAAGACCATCTTTCCACTCCATCCCCTTTCCAGCTCCCCATCCTGCTGAGAGCCACTTCCACTGCTCAGTAAAATCCTCCACATTCACCACACTTCAATTCGTTCATGCCACCTGATTATTCTTGGACGCAGGACAAGGACCCGGGTGTGAGTGCAAAAGGCTGTCACACTGACCCTCCACTGAGCTGTTTAACACTTAAGCCATCCATGAATGACAAAGCTAAAAGAGCACACTATAACACACACCCCCTGGGGTTCTGGGGGTCACAGGCAACCTCTAGATGCTGCCACAGGCCCGCACAGAGTTCTGCTCCTGCTGGTTGCCTAGAAGCACTCATCCTGCACCTGCTCACCTGCACGCTCCCCCTCTTGCAAGGGGTTGAGAGCTGTTTGCTGACTAAATGAGTCAACCCCTTCATAAGTCATGGGAAGGGGTCAGGGAACTATCCCATTTCAATGTGATTCTGAAACACAATCAGTTCATTTACTTGAATTTGTAAATAGCAACTTTACACCATCTCTTCCAACTCTGACAGTCTTGGAATTGATGAAATAGGTTATCCTTCATCATTTCTGAAGATATAGTATATACTGCACTCTTAAGAGGTACCTGCCATTTAAAGAATTAGGGGAGGCTGGGCACGGTGGCTCATGCCTGTAATCCCAGCCCTTTGGGAGGCCGAGGCAGGCAGATCACGAGGTCAAGAGATTGAGACCATCCTGGCCAACATGGTGAAACCCCGTCTCTACTAAAAAATACCAAAAATTAGCCAGGCACGGTGGCAGGCCTGTAGTCCTAGCTACTCAGGAGTCTGAGGCAGGAGAAAGGCGTGAACCCAGGAGGTGGAGCTTAAGCGAGCCAAGATTGTGCCATTGCACTGCAGCCTGGGTGACAGAGCGAGACTCTGTCTCAAAAAAAAAAAAAAAATCTATTTATTTATATATTCGTTCATTCATTCATTTTAGCCCTAGGAAAAAAAAATGCTTGGCTGGGCATGGAGGCTCATGCCTGTAATCCCAGCACTTTGGGAGGCTGAGGCAGGTGGATCACTTGAGGTTAGGAGTTTGAGATCAGCCTGCCCAAAATAGTGAAACCCTGTCTCTACTAAAAATACAAAAATTAGCCAGATGTGGTGGTGCACACCTGTAGTCCCAGCTACTCGGGAGGCTGAGGCAGGAGAATTGCTTGAACCCAGAAGGCAAAGGTTGCAGTAAGCCAAGATCATACTACTGTACTCCAGCCTGATGACAGAGTGAGACTCCATTAAAAAAAAAAAAAGAATTAGGGGAAAGGGGATCGGGGCCAAGGGATGAAACAACCAGTGAAATGAAATTTAACTAAATTCTTAACAGAAAACTTGAATTGTGCCCCTTTTTGTTCTTATTCCCTTAACAACAGATCCAGTTAACAAATATGTACTATGCACCTACTACGTGTACTGGAGATTAAATGGTGAATGCACAAGATAGTTCCTGCCCTCATGGAGTTTACAGTCTAGTAGATTCCAGAAAATTTTCATTCCCTTGTTTCACTTTTTTATTCTAACAAATCTCTGGACAATAATTAAATGTCTTCTTTCTGTTTTCAGTGAGAATAAAAACTATCACATTAATTCTCTTTCAAGCTTCTTTTTGCAGAGTAGATGCATAAATCCAGACAGGATGACTTTGAAATAAGAAAAGCACACTCCTTCCTTAGGAGGTAAGAACCTGCAAACTTTCCCATCCATCTAAATTAAGACCTCCACCACTTATTGAACTGAACACTAATTGACATAAGCAAAGACTGAGGTTTTCCTTGGGAATTGAAAGATGTTATTTATTGAATCAATTATGTTCACAGGGTGTCGGTTGATTTTTCTTTTCCTTTTTCCCCCCTTTCTTATACCACTTTAGTCTTTTTAAGCACAACAGTTAGAAATGGAACATGGAGAATGGGGGCAGAGAGAGAGAGGCCAATAAAATGAATGAAAGAGAAAAAAAAAACCCTAACAGGGAAGCTAAACCATGATTTAGCACCTCTCTTTGGTAAAGAAGGACCAAATCAAAGCCCAATCGATAGAATTCTTTCAAATAAAGTTCCAACGCTTAAATCTCAACCCCCAGGAGATCAGGCTTAAAGGGGCTAAATTTACACCACTTACCACACAATAATGCCTGAAATGCAGAACAAACATTAAGTGGATCTACCTTTATAGATAAGGCTTAAAAGCTTTTTGGACTGACAAACCATAAACCAGCTTGATTTTATTATTTCTTTCCCCTCTGAGATTTTTTTTCTCTATTACAAGGCTATCTTTCTCTATTTGCCAATGTACAGATAAGTGAGCTATCTCGCAGGTTCATTTCCCTAATACCAGAGCTGTGCTGGCCAAATGTATCCCCACAAAGGAGACTCAGAGTCTTTCAGATTCAAAACACTTCACGAATTCTCCACTCTAAGAGTCTCTGAGAAATAGCTGATTATTACTAAAAACACAAAACTTGTCTTAAGAGGAGCAGGAATAAGTTGAAACTAAAGGTGGCTAAATTCCAACAGTATATTCATTTTGTTATAAAACTGATCCGTCCTTGAGAAGCTCTGATTTATGTAGGAGGCTTGGAAGAGAGTAATATTAGACCGAATAAAAATTTTCTAAAGCAGTTCTCAAAAGGTACATCCACAGGGAGCTCTTAACAAAAGAGAATTGCTCACTTAATTATC